CTATATATGGAGAGAGAGATAGATAGATAGATAGATAGATAGATAGATAGATAGATAGATAGATAATGAAGCAACAAAGGTAGAGATAGAGACAAGGAAGATAGATAATGAAGAAGCATAGATAGATAGATAGATAGATAAAGAAAGAAAGAGAGAGTTAGATATAGATTGATATATCCATAGATAGATAGATAGATAAGCAAAAAAGATAGAGACAATGAAGAAGCATAGATTGATAGATAGATAAATAGAGCGAGATACAGATTTATATATCCATAGATAGTGATAGATAGATAGATAGATAGCTAATGAAGCAACAAAGATAGAGAGAGAGAGACAAGGAAGATAGATAATGAAGAAGCATAGAGAGAGAGGAGAGAGAGAATGAGATATGTTCCTTGTAATAAATCAACCCTATAGAAAAGTTTATGTAAACCATAGCTCATGTAGAGAAGAATAGGATTCATACCTTTCCCAAGGGTATTAGCAAATAAATGAATGTAATGTATTCGATTGGAATTCGAACTCGGCTCTTCGATTCCTCAATTCGAACCGCTATCCATTACTCCACCGCGCCTCCTTCAGTCACTTATGTGCCATGCGTGATACACGCTTAGACTTTCACGTATCTTTCAATACTATTTCGATAATAGGCATTTTTCTAAAAAAAAATAATACGCAATATTAGAGGTAAGTATTATGCACAGCTACAAAAAAAATCTTTATAAAATTGCCATTTCATAGGTCGATTTCAGTTGCGAAATGACTACTCACGACAAACATACGACAATTTGATTCGGCGATTGTGACCCCATAATGATGTCAAATACAATCATATGTACCTAAGAATACTTACCTATGTAAAATAAAATAAAAATTATCAAAAAACTAAATTAGAATGGTATTATTCTGTTTAAAACCATTTTTGTGAAAAACTACATACAGATCCGATAGATTGCACATTATATCGAACAAAAACAAGTTAATGAGTCTGCGCAGTAGGCACTATAAACGTATTTCCGTTTCCTTTTAGAATCGTTATGTTCGAAAATTTTGATAAATATCTTCAATTACAGCTTGAATAAGCGTAAGAAACGCTGACTATAATAAAATTGGAGAGGTACAATTTATAGGGTTTGATTAGCAAGCAAGGGGTGCGTATTATGCGTGAGTAAAAGGATTCTCCCCACACTTTCAGCACAATTTTAAGGATTCGTATTATGAATGAAGGCGTATTTTGTATAGGGAATTACAGTAATTCATATCTCGAATATGTTTGCCAGTGTTTTACACGCTGACCTTCACAAAGCTTAAAGCCGCATATTTGACGTTATCCAGTCATCCTTAACAAAATGAGGAAGGAAAATCATTTGAATGGCCACGCTTCTAGATCATATCACATAAATATGAATTCCCCCAGAGCTTTAAACTTACATTGCTTTCTCAACTAGTTATTTATTTTACACGCCTATTTACTCATGTCTTAATAGTAATGCCGATAGGTACTACAAAGTAAAACTGGTAGTGGCTCTAAAAAATGACCCCCAATTTGGGACGAAAAACGGCCTGTGTATTCCTACCCCTCTAAAACGAAACTGCTATATTTTAATCAAAATAGATACCATTTTTGTCTTGCATCATAAGACCGGTGTTTACCTCAAAGACAGCAACCCATTGCGCCTTTTTAGTCTCAAGATTTCCACTAAAGTGGAAGGATTATATTGAATCAATAACTGTCAAGATCCGCCTTGGTTCCATCAGTCCAAGTGGCGTTGCGCTATTCCGACTGTTTGGCTTTTGAGAGCGTGTAGATCATTGTTTATTCCGCCGTTGAGATCTTCGGGGGTTGGTCGCTTTCAGTCTGCAGCCACATCACCCCTTACATCTGGCCACCTAACTCCCCAAACTGAAATCCTCCTGATTATTTTGTATGGGGTGCAGTTGAGCGAGAGCCTAACAAAACGTCTTGTAATATCAAAGATGAACTGAAGCCAAGCATTGTGGTAGCATTCACCAACTTAAACAAGGAGATAGTCCATAAGAGTTTCAAATCGTCGGGAGGCCATTGTTGAAGCCGATGTCGATTTTATTGAATAAGTTTGCTCTTTAGTATTTAAAGATATATTTGTGTCATTTTTGGTAAATATATCAGTTAAAATGAGATGTCAATGTTATTTTCATATTTTGGGCTACTTAGACGACAATTTATCTATCGCAAGTTGTATTTCTGTAAATTATAAGCGTTTTTATTAATTTTTTTTTTGCTTTAAAGAAAATGAAACTTACATTTTTGAATTATCAAATTTGAAATGTTTGTAAATAATTGTCTTTTAATTGGATTTTTAAAAATGTGTTTCCTTTTAATCTTTATTTATCTTATAAAACCAAAGCCAATATGCAAGGCAATATAAAGAAAATAACTAAATGGATTATCTATAATATGTTTGAAGGGAGTATTTGAAAACTCTGCAGTGGGTTTGGTTTGATTTGATTTGGTGTGGTGTGGTGTGGTTTGGTTTGGTTTGTTTTACGGCATATCTACCTCAATGGGTTATTTAAAGCTGACAACTTTTTTTCCTGGTAATATTTTGTTTTGTCAAAAATTTATTTCTGGTAATATTTTTTCCACAAAAATGTATACCTCGTAATATTATTTTAAAACCTGTATTGCTGGGAATGTTCTTTTTCTTGAAAAATTTATTTCTGGTAATAAATTTTTACAAAGTATTTCTGGTATTAAAACCTATTTTTACACTTTCACAAGTTAACTATTTGCCCATAGCTGGGACCCTAACAGGTGCTACCACCCCGGGTCAGGGTGTACCTGGGAACACCAGCAATTAAACGGTTGTTCAACGCTCCTCAAAACCTCCTGGTCAGTGGCCATGCTGCTGGACGTAGTTTATTGTCTTACCATGAACGCGGATGTAGTTTATCGTTATACCCAGGACGGCCTGGAGTAGGAATGCAGTGTCAATGCATGGCAGTGAAAACAGAAGGTTAAATAAATACTAATTCCTTAATTTTTTAAAATATTTTTTGTAGTTTTTCTAGCTTGTGGATGAAAATATAAATATTTTAGATTTGCTAAAATTTCCTTTACTAGCCGAGCACCCGGCCAACGGAGGGGATGAGTAAGTTCTTATCGAAGTTGATTTGATTAATAATAATAATAATTCAACAGATAATTCCAAATATTGAAACGATATTTTCTTTAATTAAATAAGAAAAAATAATACTTGCTTTATTTACATCTTTTTCACTTCAATCTAGAACAAAATTAAAATTTCGTATATTTAAATAATTCTTTAATGTCTTTATTAATAATGAATGAAAATAATTAATATTTGTATTAATAAAATAAACATACTATTTTTTCATTTGCTTAAATAAATCGGTACAATTTTAAGAAAATCTATTTACACAAATTATTTTGATACTTTTTTATAATTACGGCCATATGACGTTGAAATAACAGTTCCCGTCCAATCATTATGAGCTTGATAAGTGACCACTTGCAAATACAAGGTGCTATACGCTTGGATATGCGAATGATGTGATGGCTAACGGCGGAGAATAAAAAATCAGAGAACGGAATTTTAATTCCAGTCGAGTTCGTTGCATTTATTTACGCGCAAATAACCTTCGGGAAGGCATGAACCCATCTCTTTTCACTCTAGCCATCTGTTAAATAGCACGTCAGACTTGAATATATACCCTTGGTTGGCAACCAGTTTAACTTAGAAAATAAATGGCAACCTACTGCCAAATCACTCATTAATCGAAAAGAGACATGATCGTCTAAGTGTTCATCACCCATGCTCTATTGAAGGAAGGATAATACCGCGTTCTTTTTCGGCTTCGATCGACTAATTTGTAGTAACGAGAAATGGCAGACAACAACAACGGTTACTCCGAATGCTCTGGTAATAAGATAATAACTAATGTTGCCGGGCCTAAAATTATAGAATTTTTTTTTTAATTTAATTATTAACTTTATGTTTGTTTTTTTTTTACAAAAACATTTCTATTTTACATTTATTTTACGTTTTCTTTAATTAATCATTTTTTTTTTTTTAGCTAAGTTACTACTCAAGTTTAACAAAGCAGATATAAATTATTTCTCAGCGAAAGCGATGAATGTAAAAAAATATCGACAGGCATAGCAATTATATAGACCAAGTTTTAACATTTGTATTAATGCAAGATATTTTATTCAACTGATGTATGGTAGGAACAAATGGATATAATTTAGCCTTTTGATTGTGGAGTAAATAGCTATGGTCAAATGAAAAATAAGTAAAAAAAAACTGTCCAACAAACAGAATTGACAAAATTTACAATAAGCAATAACAAGAAAAAGAAAGAAACGGAGAATAATTAAAATATAGCAAAGCAAACAATATTTGCAACAGTAATAAGACAATGCAACAGTAATAAAGCAAAAAGTTCACAAACTAAGAATTGACACACAAAAGCAAGTTCGGACAAGCGAACGTAGCATTATGACTTAAAGACAAGACAGATCGGGAATGAGTGAGATGAAACCACGAACCGGCATATTTTATAGGCTAGGAAAAATCCCAGCATATAAATGCGTGCTTCTGCCTATAAAAGGAGAAGGGGGAAAGTATTTTGCGTTAATTCCCAAGGATTGTAAATTTACAAAAATAAATATACATTCCCAAGGACAGGAATCAACATCTATTATCTAATATCTTTTAACGATGTTTTACTTATAGCTTATTATATTCCCTGACCACTGTAAGATTTTAAAAGCATGTATTTGTGTACGTTCTAGATCCCGATTTCTGCTTTACTATTATGGTCCTCTGTGTACGTTTTCTTTACGAAGAAAGTTGAAATCTAATCACCTTTGGTCGCCATTGATTCGAAGTGTCATTACTCTTCGTCTTATCTCCGACAGCAGCAAGAATGCCATCTTCTTTAGGTCAAATTTCCGCTCGCAATTTAAAATTTCTTACGTGTGAACTTTGAGGCAGAGTCTGGTTAAATTAATGCAGTGTTGTCCGAACCTTTTTAAGAAAGCTTTTCAATTTCTCAACCTTGACAAAGAATCCATTAAATTCGTTTCTCCTGTGTCGATCGAATTTCCTCTCTGAAATCTAGCGTATTGATTGTTTTATTATAATTGCTTGTATCCGAGCGGTCACCACTTCCAGAACCGTCCTCTTGTCCACAGTATCTCTTTATCATTCTTTTGTGTCTTCTATTCACTTATAGCTATGCCGTGTGTAAGTGGACAGCAAATTAGTGTCACATTCCAATTACTACAACCAGTTCAGATACAACGAACAATAAGTTTTTGACTGCTAGAGGCAAGACGTGAAACACGTTTACAAGTGTAAATCCATCCAGTTCAATGTTTTACTGAAA